TGTAACCGTTTTCTTTATTTCACATGTAAAGAAAACATCTTAAAGATGTTTGTTTAACTTTTTGATTCAGTTTTATATGTTCTGTTGGTTGTATTTTATCCCAGGTTTTATGTATTGTTAAAAAACTGAAACAGAAAGTGCTTCTGGACCAGTGTTGTTTACATCTTGCAAAATGGTCTATAGTCTTGGTGTCCATGCCAGTGTGGCCATGCTGGTGTGTGTCAGTGTCAGTGGTTCTTATTTTACAAAGACATTGAAATAGTAAAACAAACATGAAAAAAAATTGTGATAAAATTGCGAATCACGATTGATTTTTTGATTGTGAGTCAAAATTGCTATATCGCCCACCCCTACAGTAAAGACATTTATAATGTAGCAAATTATTTATAATTTAAATCAATGATAATTTAAATACATTTCTGCTTATCAAAGAATCCTGAAGCAACTGTTTTCAATACTGATAATAAGAAATATTTCTTTAGCTCCGAAACATCGACTTAGAAGGATCATGTAACTGAATGTAACTGATTATGAGCTGACAATTCAGCTTTGCCGTTACAGGAATAAATTAAAGTATATTGAAATAAACAGTTATTTAATAGTTTACACTTTTACTGTTTTTATTGTATTTTTGATTTAAAAAATGAAGCCTTGAATGGCATAAATCAATACTCTGAAAAACATTTTTAAAAATCTTACTGTCCACAAATCTTTGAACAGTAGTGCAGAACAGTGTACAGTGTATGTCCAATTTGCATTAAATTTGATATGGAAAACAGTTTGGTTGACATGGTCATGCATGCAATTCTTGGTCTTTAAAAAGAGGGAAAGTAATTCCTGGATGTTTCTGTTTTAACTCAGGACATCAAGATTTAAGATATCTTATCTAGCAAACATGTTTTTATTACAAAAAACACTTTTCAGTACATTTAAAACTTGAACCTGGAACAATTTGTACTTACGAGCTTTGCTTAACTGACAATGAGTTCTTCTTTACTCTCCGGTTCATAGATCACTCCTACCCTCAATTTTTGGATTATCAGCCTAGACTGAAACCTCAACGACACAAATGCTAACACTTTAAAGACTTTAAAGATGTTTTAAAGGGGTGGTTGATTATGATTTCAACTTTAGTTAGAGTGTAATGCTGTTTGAGCATAAACAACATCTGCAAAGTTATGCTCAAAGGTCAAAGCAAAGGGAGACATTTGCTTTTAAAGAAATCGTTTTTTAAGGACTACAACAAACGGCTAGTAAGGACAACAAGACATTTCTCATGGGTTAGTGACATCACCAACCCTAAAATGTACACAAACCCCGCCCCCGGGAACACATGTTCCCATGTTGAAAAGAGGAAGTGTGGTTGTAGTAGAGCACATTTGTGAATCACCTCAAACTGTAGCATCCGTCTTTTCATATGCAATCGAAAGTCTGTGTGCATCTCACAACACTTCCTATATGAGCCATTTATAGATTATCATGACAGAATATGCTAATTGAAGATGGTTAATTCCACATCAGCAACATCATGTTGCATTCTACGTGTTGCCACTTCTTGTTGGTTTCTCCATCTTTGTCTGACTCCGGTTTAAACATAAAAGGCAGAACAGTTTCTGACTTAGTGTGTCTGCGAGGTAATCAGAATTGCTCACATACACACACAAGCTCTTGAAGCTCTACCCTCTGTGCCAGGAGCAGCAGCTCATTTGCATTTAAAGTACACAAAATGGTGCATCTTTGATAACCCTCAAAAACTTAAACTTGCTATCAATATCTGTGGGATATTTTGAGCTAAAACTCTACAAACACTCTCTAGGGACATCAGAGATTTATTTATTTATACATCTCGTGAAAAAGGAACTGTACCACCCCTTTAAACACGTAATTAACACGTGATTGGTCGAAACATTAAATTGCTAAATCTTAGTATTGGAAATGATGGACTTTTATGAGCTGGTACCAAACAAGCTGTACTATACAGTATAATGGACTTTTTGAGGAACGATACCAAGCATTCCAAAAACAGAAGTATCAAATAAAAAAGTGGGAGTAAATGAAAAACTCACTGTACTCAACAGTGTTATTGTTAACTAAAATAAAAATGATTTTGTTAATTGAAATAATGATTAAAAAAATAAAACATGAATGAAATTAAAATTAAATGATTACTTAAAATTAAAAAAAAAATTAAGTTGAATGAAATCAAATATATATAAACACACACATATACAGTCAGGTCCATAAATATTGGGACATCGACACAATTCTTTTTGTGTGGTCTTGATCTGGCCAACTGTTGTTTTCTTCACCAGGGAAAGAATTATTTGGTCATCCACCACAATTGTTTTCAGTGGTAAGAATGCACCAAACAGTTGATTTGGCCACACCTAATGTTTTTGCTTTCTTTCTGATGGTTTTTTTTCTTCTTTTCAGCCAAATGATGGCTTTCTTCACTGATAGTGATGGATCTTTGGATCTCATATTGAAAGTTGACGGCAACCAAATCCAAATGCAAATAGCACACCTGAAAATTAACTCTGGACCTTTTATCTGCTCCTTGGAAATGGGATAATGAGGGAATAACACACACCTGGCCATGGAACAGCTGAGCAGCCAATTGTCCCATTACTTTTGGTGCCTTAAAAAGTGGGAGGCACAAACTGTTTCCTACACCGTTTCCCTGATTTGGATATAAATACCCTAAAATTAAAGTTGAAAGTCTGCAGTTAAAGCACATGTTGCTTGTTTCATTTCAAATCCATTGTGGTGGTGTATAGAGCCAAAAAGATTGGAATTGTGTCGATGTCCTAATATTTATGGACCTGACTGATATATATATATATATATATATATATATATATGGTCATACACTCACTCACCCAAAGGATTATTAGGGATGTGGTCCTGGTCAAGACCAGGAGAATGGGCCAACTGATTCAAGCTAATAGAAGAGCAACTTTGACTGAAATAACCACTCATTACAACCGAGGTATGCAGCAAAACATTTGTAAAGCCACAACACGCACACACCTTGAGGCGGATGTGCTACAACAGCAGAAGACCCCACCGGGTACCACTGATCTCCACTACAAATAGGAAAGAGAGGCTACAGTTTTCAAGAGCTCACTAAAACTGGACAGTTGAAGAATGCAAAAATGTTGCCTGGTCTGATGAGTCTCGACTTCTGTTGGTAGACATTCAGACATTCAGATGGCAGAGTCCGAATTTTGCGTTAACAGAATGAGAACATGGATCCACCATGTCTTGTTACCACTGTGCAGGCTGGTGGTAAAGCACTGTGCAACCATAAAGCACTGTGAGGGTCTTACCAAATTAATTCCTGCGTCTGGCCAGAAAATGGCACCCACAGATGAATCATACATTTTCGAGCTAGTCCAATGTGGGAACAGTGTAATATATTACATGGTAATATTTTTTTTTATTGATTGTTAATAAGGTTTATATGCTAGTTTACATGACAAAATTCAAGGTACACACAAAGCACTATGTAATTGGCTTAGCAAGCAATTCTGAATAACAGGAAATATAAAGATATGATTTAGATGAGGACATTCAGATGATACATGGACACCAGTAATTAGCACCAAGATCTTGTGACTCTCTCTAGCATGTAAACACTGTCCAGACCGGCTCAGCAGGTCTGACCCACAGGAAGCAAAGCCAACAGCTCAAACAATGATAAGGGCATTGTGTTTCAGAAAATCCACAATGTGAAGATGTACACAGATTTTCATTTATGGATCATGAATGTAGACTGCTCAAGCTTTAAAACCTTGCAGACCTTCGATTTTTAAGTTAAATTAAGCACACATTTTAAGCACAAGCATTAGACTCCACAACCTTACACACAACACACACACACATAAATTGGCTATTTGTGTTTTAATTATGAAGGCTCTAGACATAATGATTTGCAATTCTCCTCTGGTCTAGCTTGTTTCATAGTCTATCTTTCTAATAACCCATGCAGTGTAAACTAGGAATATACAAACTGTTGTAAATCCTACACTGTTCACCTGATTCGGATATAAATATCCTAAAATTTAAGTTGAAAGTCTGCAGTTAAAGCACATGTTGTAGCCTGGCTAACACCAGACCACGTATCACTGAGAATGAAACGTGGTCTGGAAACCACACGTTCAATTTCTCGTATTTGAGGTGTGGTATTATTGGGTGCAACGAATGTCTATCAAATGTGCCTGTACGTCTGTCAAATGCGCCTGTGCTCCCTCCCCGTTCTGTGATTGGTTGCCTAAATCAGGGGAAAATTTGGTTCACGGTATCCAGACTGCCTAGCAGCGCGAATAAGGCAGAATGAGGAAACCCAGGCTACGCATGTTGTTCATTTCTTTTCAAATCCATTGTGGTGGTGTCAAAGAGCCAAAAACATTAGAATTGTGTCGATGTCCCATCGACGGATTTAGGAACATCAAAATGACTGCTGTGTTCATCATTACACCCAAGAACAGAACACCACAATCGCTTATACACCATTCTGATCCATTTTATCAACAATAGCGGACTATGATGACAGCTCGCTCAGGGCGGGGGTGTATTGAAACGCTGTTGTCAATGAACATTCGTGGGAGGGGCGTCCTATTTAGTGACGTCACAAAATCGAATGGCTCAATTAGAGGCAGGAAAACATATAAAGAGATTAAAACAAAAAGACTTGGTGGATTTTTATCATTATATGACGGATGTGTACAGGCACTGCCAACACACATTTCAGTACAATTAACTTATAAGTGCATGTACCATTATATGACCCCTTTAAAACAAGTCTGCATGAACAGTTTGAAATACAATTCAAACAGTCCCACTGTAGCTGTCAGAATGTTGTTACTTAATCTATTGCAGCAGCACAGCCTTCACCTCCCTCTCAGAGCTCATTGGCTGGAAGTCAGCTATGATGTCATCACAGAATGTTATAAGGGCTCTGACAAGTAGCCTGAGAGCCACATTTAACGTAACACCGCTCAGCAGAGTGACTGTGTGTAAGAGAGGTTGAGAAAAGTGCTGTGGTGACAGAGAAAGAGAACATGCAAGAGAAAGCCATAATGAAGGGAGGATCTACTCGTTCATAACAACCCTACAGACCTCAAAAGAGTACTTAAACATTGTATGGAATAAGTGGAAGTCTTTTTTGAAGGTTTGTAAAAAAAAAATGGCATTGTCTGCATGGAATTTCACTGTTTTTCGTCTTGTTTACTAACTGTTTGCATTTAACATGATTTATCACTCAAATGCAAAAACCTCTGTGTTGTTATTTTTTATTAACTAATTTACAATTAAATGTCCTCCTTTTCCTTCTCAATCTCTGTCAGGTCATGGGAAACACACAGCCCAATCCAAATGCAACTGACTGTCAGAACTTCACAAATTTGAACAACTCCACCAAAAGCGAAGTACAGATGGTGCTGCTGGGCACACTGATGTCCATTCTTGTCCTGGCCATCGTCTTTGGCAACGTGTTGGTGATAACAGCCATCGGCCGATTCCAACGACTTCAGAACGTCACTAATTGCTTCATTACATCACTTGCTTGTGCTGATCTGGTCATGGGATTAGTGGTGGTGCCTTTCGGCGCCCTTCACATCATCCTGAGCACTTGGCACTTCGGCAGCTTCTGGTGTGATTTCTGGACGGCTACTGATGTTCTGTGCGTCACGGCCAGTATCGAAACGCTCTGTGTCATCGCTCTGGATCGCTACCTCGCCATAACATCCCCCTTCCGCTATCAGTCCTTACTGACCAAGAGCAGAGCTCGCGTCATTGTGCTGCTGGTGTGGGTTATTGCCGGGCTCATTTCCTTCCTACCAATCTATATGAAGTGGTGGACTTCTGGCACGCCTGAAGCAGAATGTTGCATGAGTAACGCGACATGCTGTGAATTTTACACCAACACTGCCTATGCTATCGTCTCGTCCATAATCTCCTTCTACATCCCCCTGATCATCATGGTTTTCGTCTACAGCCGGGTCTTCCAGGAAGCAAGAAAGCAACTGAAAAAGATTGACAAAAGTGAAGGGCGATTTCACGCTCAGAACAACAATACTAAAAAGCAAAACGTGGTGAGCAGCCATTGCGAGGTGAGGACCGCCAAGAAGCCCAAGTTCTGCCTGAAGGAACATAAAGCTTTGAAGACTTTGGGCATCATAATGGGTATATTCACACTGTGCTGGCTGCCGTTTTTTGTACTAAATGTGGTAGCGACAATGACAGATGTGGACAACTTGACATTCAGAATATTAAACTGGATAGGCTACGCTAACTCAGCCTTCAACCCACTGATCTACTGTAGGAGTCCAGAGTTCAGGTACGCTTTCAAGGAAATCCTATGCCTCAACAGGTCACGCTACCCTAACGTTAGGCCAACCAATGGATATAGATATAGTGGGCATAGCTGGAAGAGCGAACACCGAGGGCGAAGCAAAGGCAGCTCAGAGGACAGTGACCCAGCAGAGGGCAACTCAGAGAAAGACGGTTGCATGTCAGGAGATAAAATAGACTCCAATGGGAGCTGCAGTAAAAACCTAATGAGTGTGTTATAAATCACCTTGCGAGTCCTGACTCATTCCAATGTGACTTCTCAATATGTCACATAAGGACAGGTACGCCTCTTCTGGTAAGTGGCCAATGGTGTGTGTGTGATGGAAAAAAGGACATTTTTAAAAGATTGTTTTTTTATCTACCTCATTGTTTCTAGATTCACTTTATCGGTTAATTTCACCATAACCTCGCTCAAAAAGTTTAGGCTTTCAGTTTTAAATGGAGAGAAATAATCAGAAAGAATGTACTTCTATCACAGTCAAGATAAACGACACTTTGAACTGGTTGTTCACTAGAGGGACTTCTTTCTTCATAGGCATCTTGCATGAATTAAGGAACAGAGCTGCAGTTTAAAAGAATGATCTGCTTTCATTAGATTAGCAGAGTAAAACAGGGGTTGCCTTTTTGAAGCAATACTTGAAAATACTTGCAATTTTACTTGTTACTTGGTTCAAATTGGATTCTATACAATGTATGTTTTAAAATTCAGCCAACCCAACACTGAAACAACACATCTTACACACAATGCAAAAGGAAATGAAACCACACGGCCATACACGTTTTTACGCAAAATGAAACTTCAGCAAGATTTCAGTCAGGAGACTGATAAACTGAGCATTCTTCGATGGAAATCACTTAATATATCATAAACCAATTTATGCACCAAACTACAAATCTGCAATTTTTGCCTCTTAGCAGGCTTAGTCCTGAATGCATCCAAATCCTTAATTCACCATGGGAATGTTTTTAACATTTTCCAATACAAATAGGCAAAGTCCAACAGGCCTTATGTGTAAATCCCTGAGATTCAGTGTTTATTAAAGTCATTATGTGACTCCCTCATTACCAAAAACATTATCTAGACTAAAAAGATAAATAAATCAAGAGGTATTGAGTTTCTTTTTAGGGTCATCTAATGCACGCAGTGCAAAGCAATTTCCCTGTTCCTCACACACATTTAATCCACGTTTAATCTAATGTTCCATGCATATCATGAACTGCATAAGTGGTAAACCATTTCAAAACTTGTCAGTGTTGATGAACTATTCATTTATGGCAAGTGGCTCTCTGTTACTGTGCAGCCTGTCAAACACTGTGAAAGTTGAAAGAAATTCCGTGGTCCATATCAATTTGTGTGTGTGCTCTGAGGATTTGTGACATTTCTATGTTTCCTTTTAATGGATAAAATGCGGCAATGCAACAATTATTTCTGTCCCATGGAGGCATTAATGCATCAAAGAGCAGTTTAAAACTATAGCCTCTTAAAAGGGTGCTTTGTAAATCTTTGACATTTGAAACATAAATGATAAAAATATCAATGTATTTGTAAATATTTTAAAGACTGTAGAGATTACAATAATGCAGTTTTTCTGTAAACAGTGAACTACCAGATACAGAGAGAGCGTGCATGTCCTTTTTCAGGATGTGAAACTGAATGTGACAGCTTGTACAAATTTGTTAACACTGCACCCTTCTGGGAAGGTTTTTCTCTGCATGTCGCTCACCATGAGAAACTCGTACCTGTAATATCTTGTGCTAACTGAAATATCTGTGCAATCACGAATTGTGGCAATGCGATCTTATGTTGTTCTCTGTGGACACAGTTAACCTGTTGAGTAAAGTGTTTACATTCATATGTTTTTGAGTTAGATATGGTTCACAGTTAATGCAACCCCTCATGAATTTGCACCTTCATCCTAGTGATTAAGCAATGCTCTGGAGTTAATGTCACGCTACTTACATCATATTGATGTCACCTTTTACATTTTTTCATTGATAGTTTAACAAATCTGTTCAAATTTGTATGGTCATATCATCGCCAAGAAAAAGCCATTTTATTTACAGGTGGTCATACAGGTTTCCACCATGTTGAGATCACATGATCAGCCAAACAACTTTTTGTAAACCCCCTATTATTAGAGGCTTAAATCAAACTATTTATACAATGGGAATTTATACAATGACATTTGAAACAAAAATGTTTGCTTTGCAAAATGCTGCAGTTATGCAAATAGATCCCAGTATACATTTCCAGTGTCACACTGGCAAGTGAAATACAAACAAAAAAGAAAAAAAATTCTTTGTGCATTTTGTAGTCCATCATCTGAGTCTGTACAGCTAAAAAGGGAACAAGACATTGTTAAAATGTTCTGCTCCAGAATTGAAACTGACATTGTGCCTGCAAGGAAATTAAATGCCACATTTGCAAGTATAGGCACAGTGTGGACAGCCTCTTATGATGCATGAAGAAGATGTGATTAAATATTCCCTGAATATTGCCTTAATGATAAGAGCAGATTTCATAATCATAATGTTAATGAACATTGCAGTAGGCAAACGTTCTACTTCCCACTCCACAACTCTCTTAGGAAAGCTTAATTCATGGCATGTGTGTACTGTATATAATGTTGTTCGATGTTTACCTAGATTCCTTTGAGCTACTTTCGCACAAGATTTATCACTGTTTCGTTGAACTACAGTGAAATACGTTCAACCATATTTGTCTTAGTGGTATTTATGAAATACATGTCATGCTATTTGTATTATGTAATAAATTATGTATTTAATGTATGCCTGGTTATGACTGATGTTTTCAATGTTCAGTGCATTAAAATGAATTCCTAGTAGGCTATATTTGTGTACCAACTAAGCAATCCAAAATGCTTCTAAGCATAGCTACTGTACATGACACAAAAAGTGATTGCTTACACAGTATGACTTTGTTATAGTATTAGATTCAACACTTATCAGCCGCCTTTTATCTTTGGCCATCAGAAGGAATTTCCCCTCACCATTCCAGAGTAAATCAATCAGCGTGAGTATGATTTGTGTCCATCTGTGCTATGTGGAAAACATCCCCTTAAGAATAACTTCACCCTTTGCATGCGTAGCTGCAACTCAGCCATGTCTATTTCAGTATGGGAACGAGCCCCTGCAGCATGTGATATTGTAATATGTTTCCATTCTGAGTTTATTACAAGGCCTATATCATATTCCATTAGAATTCATTCTCATTCACCTCATAACTCTGTGAACAAAAGTGCAGCCTGGATACAGTAAATTACATGGCAAAGACAAGCCTAGGTGTTTGGCCACACATAGGAAGAGTGATACATTAAAAGGACAATGATGCATGACATCAGAGTTGTAAATGTTCCCTTGATTGATTGGCTCATATGCCTGCTGTGAAATTTAGAAAAGAGCATAATAGATTTAACAAAAGGGATATTAGACATAAATGAAGCCACCAGAGAGGAAAATACTGGAAGGTTTTCACCATCAACTCCATTAGTGAAGTTGAAAACGTACATCAAGAAATGGATCAATTTGTATGATGAATGGATTAAAAGTGAAATTCAGGCAAAATTATACATTGCAAACCCAACACTACTACACTAAAAATATTATGTTACAATACATAACCGAGCACATTAACCATGTTACAGTGTTAAATATCTTGTAAAATTGTCAATCAATCAATCAATCAATTAATCAAAAATAGAGTAAAAAAAAAAAAATACGTAATCATTTAGAAAGCCAAACAGATATACCATCACAGAGGAAAATGTTATTGTTATTGAGTGTGTTCTTTCAATAAGTATTATTATAGGTATTTGATTATAGCAGTTATTTCTCAAACTAATTTGGATATATAAAAAAATGTTTATTTATTTATTTATGTATTAGTATTTTATTATTTTTATTTATACATCTCCAAAACTACAGGATAAAAAGACATGAATGAACTGAAACAGTGAAAGAACAGATACGATGAGCACAAATCAATACCAGTGTTATTGTATAATGATCTAACAGCCAGCTTAAGAAATAAAGAACCATGTGAAAACATTAGCAGAAGAAGTTAGAGAGGCTCTTGGACGTGATTTCCAGAGATTCACCTCTTGGAAAAAACATTGTGCCTGTGCCAAAACAACAGACAGCCACATCACAACACAACCTGACATCAGCATCCTCAAACAAACACACAGCCAGTCAGAACAACTTCATCTTTTACCCTCTTACCACTAAATCAAGGTCTATCACACCGTGAGAAGGTTTCATAAGGACGCAAGACTTTAACTTGCTTCAGAGCGGCCTGGTTATTAAATGTGATTTAGAACTACTGAACAAGAGCCTCTCTGGTTGTTATTCACAAGTGCTCTCCAAACTGATCTGATCATTTACCTCAATTACACTTGAGCCTCGGCTGAGCTATGGGCAGCACGTCTCCGTTATTAAATCATGCTCGACTTTCCACCACAAATAAAACTGCTTCATCAATTGGCGGCCCTTAAAACGGCTCAAAACGCCTGCCAGGCACACATACGGTTTCGCTGTCAATATACGATTTGGAACATAATGTCTTTCTCTGGATTCCACATGCTCACGTTACAGGCCAAATCTCCTTCTCTGCAGTATCTCAGCTCCTTACAAGCTTCCAAGATAATAGAATCAAGTTGTGACTGGAAAAGTCTGCAATCTGAAAAGATACACAAAAGAGAGGCAAAACTGACTGTGTAGAGCAGGTTTTCTCCAGCAAAGGAGTAGGACACTAACCATGGCACCACACAGTCTAAAAACACTGGTCTCTGAGAGACTTTCACGGGCCACCCCAATAAAGTCGTTCTCCTGCCCTGGGGGTTAAAACAGCACAGCATCAGAGCATGGTTTAATTCAGCCTCCGAGTCCAAGAAAAATATCTGAAAAATACTAGTCAAACAAACAGCCTACAGCCACATGCAGTGTTCCTTTCCCACGTTTGATGCATCTGCCATTTTTTGCTATTACCTTGCAGCATATTATAGACATCTCTAAATCCGACAGCAACATGCCACAGCTGTCATCATGGACGTGCAGAACAAAGAACTTCCGCACTGTAATAGTGCCATAATGGTTTGAACATGAGGAGTGGGAGACATCAGTAGAGTACCACATAAACACTAGCTATCAGCAGCATGATGCACACAGACACACGGGAAGATTAACGCTGGTGCATATGCAGTGGTGAAACATAAAAACAAGCCGCACACACAAACGACCACAGGGGAGCTGAAATGAGACACCACAAAAGCACTCAGAGGAGAGATTATGGAGTCACTCACAGGAGCCATTTTAACAAAGTAAGAGCCGAGGGTCTCTCTTGTGCTTAATGATTTTGCCATTAGAGTAATCCAGTGTCTTCTTTTCTCCCTCCAGAACACAGTGTCTGCCATGTGATTTTAACACTACAGTCGACCAGCTGTGACTTGCGGTCGTGCCATGCATCTTATTAAATAACTTTAAAATACTATGGTTTATAAAGAGTGGGGTTTAAAAGCTCAAGTTGTACGGCCTGTTTACACCTGGTATGCGCCATGCGTTTTTCATTTACACTTGGTCATTTAAATGTGTTTTTGCAAAACAGAACTTTTTTTTTAAATGTAATTAGAAAAATTGCATGTTAAGAATTGTAAATAGCCTAATTTAACTAATATAGTTTCATTGATAACGCTTCCTTTTACAGGACTGGCTAATATAAGGCAAGTAACATGGAACAGGGGTAGGTTTAGGGGTAGGTTCAGGGTTAGTACTAGTTATTACCCAGTAATTGTAGTTACTAAAATAAGTACATGGTATTTACATGGGTAACTGGACTGTAAAAGGAAGCGTTACTGTTTCATTTTACAAGAAAAAAACAAAGAGCGCTTTCAGTTTTTAAGAGTATATCCGAGCGTTTTCCTTTCAAGAGCTGCGAGTGATTTTTAACGCGATGCGATTGTCTTTAAAGTTGTTTCATTATTACTGATGACCTCATAGACCGCGGTAGATCCCACAAGCTGGATTCACACCAATGCACAGATCTCTTGTGAAAAATAATGTGTTTTGTCCTGTCTGTTTAACCCCTTGAGACGTAACTGAATGTGTTTACATTAATCTTGTGTCATAAAAGCATTTTGAGATGCAAGTATATTTTAAATGTACACACGTGTTCAACTGTCTAAATGTTTAGGTGCTTTAAGCAAGACAAAATGTTGATTAAGAAAATTATTTTAGTATTGATGCGCTAGTTCTTTTGTGTGTGGAAAATTTGGTTGATGACATTATACTAAGCTTTTTGTCACAAATGATCTTGCATTATTTTGAGCACTTAATGAGGTTTGGCTAATTAAAATAAGAGGCAGATGGAAGAATGATCTGGTTTGAACTGGATTCTGTATGGAGGATTTGTTTGTCAAAATTGATAATCAATAAGGCTTCCATCTGGGGGGTTAATAATGAATGACTTCCATTAATTCTTTCCCTTTTTTGTTCAAGGTTTTCAAAGTACTTCAAAGACTGACTCATTTCATGTACATGACATGGCACAAAGACCTGCTTCACAAACTGCACTCCACATTTCACAGAAATCGAATGCTAAGACCCTGCTTTTACTGAAAGCTGAAAAGAGCCTTTATTTAGATCATCACAAGGTTCTAAGTCTACTCTGGTTTTCTCTTCATGCATATTCATGACATGTGAACAAATTGTATATTTAAATTACTACAGAATGCACTTTTCCCTTGCTTTCATGAATTTTTTTCTCATTTTTAATCTGATTATTACACTCAGACGTTTAACACACACACGCCTGAAGAAATCGAAATAATAATGAGGTAAAAGTAGCCTTTTGCAGCATGGCTATATGCCATAGGTAAACGTAAATGTTGCATATCTAAAGCTTTTTGTTTCCACTTTAGATAAAGCCTCAGACTGTCTACAGGGAGACTACGGCTACCTTGAACTGCCCCTTATTATGCTTTTTATATTATACTGTGTAATATAGCTGTGAATGTAAAAGGGCTGCAAATTTTTAAAGATCAAAGTGCCTGACAAATTGTCTCCTAAAAGTATGTTGTGGCACCTCCAGTCACTAACCATGTTTCCATCCACACGTTTTTATCCGAATTAAGTGATATCGAATGGAAAATACCTTATGCAAACAGTAAAATTCGATTCAGTTTCATGAATATCGACTCAAATGAAATGCGTTCGGTCTCATCGGATTTTATCTTGATCGATATACCAGCCCATTCTCACCCCCAAGGCGTCACTTAACTGACGCCTTGGGAAGCATTTGGACATGCTTCAATATCTGACGCTTTAGGCGCCCTTTAGCGTCAGTTAGATGACGCCCTAGGATCGCGTGTACCCTACCCCCACCCCACACCTAAACCTAACCGCGTCCTCTAACTGACGCTTTCCTTTAGCGTCAGTTCGATGACGGCGTAGGATCGCGTCATGTAAGTGACGCTAAAGGGCGCCTAAAACGTCAAATATTGAAGCATGGTCAAAGGTGACGCCTTGGGGTGAGAATGCGTTGGATATACGGCTAAATGCGATAAAAGCTGATGGAAACATTATTTGCTGAATACATAAGGAATTGCGATTAAGTTTTAGGCCCTTTTATGGTTGCAACACGCCACAAAACATTCATTTCCGGACAGTTTTCCCGATCCGTTTGCGCACACATGGCGGATGTGAACAAAGACAAGTGGACAAAGCAAAAAAAATGCTTCAACCAAATGGTTTCCGTGAAGTGTCTCTGAAC